ACATGCTCAGCCAACGCATTTGGCCGCAGACCAAGTCTCGCATGCAGATCTAGGTCCTCAGCTGCAAAAGCATCTGTCCAAAGGAGTTGCATACCGATGAATTCATCTCCCCCTTGTGCCTCGGAGCTCCATCGGGATGACGTTCTTGGTCCGATGGGGTCTGTCTGATGGCAGGCATCTTGTTCTTCATACAGAAGCGAGAAACTAGAGCCACGATCTTCATTGACAATATCCCCAATGGCCCATACAGGGTTTAGGCCTCCTCTGTCCTGGAAAAGGAAGCATCGTCTATTCCTGCACCGTTCACTGTACCCGAATCGGAGTATAAGATCATACACAGTCTCTGTTCCACTGCAGAGGAGAGCAATCGTACTCGGTATGGGGTCAGGCCAGCCCGTGATCAGATATACCCGGTATCCCAGTCTCAATTTGGAGAGCGGTGCACCAAGCACATTGAAGACCATGTCATCACGCAACTTGATCGCCCCCGAAAGTTCCTGAGCAAATCCAATCTCTTCACCATTCGTAATATCATACCAGGTGTCAAGTAGGCATCTGGTCAAGGACAAATCTTGTGCAGGGGTACAAAACCGTGGAACATATCCAAGTTGGTACACATAAGTGACCACCCAAGACTGAACCGAGCGATGCAGCATCCAGGAGCGACCAGTTGCTTTGTAGACATACTCAGCCAGCGCATCTTCATAGTGTAAAATGGCATAACTGGCGATGACTCCATTCCTAAGAGTCCATACATCATCGGTGGTAGGTCTCTCGAGAGTTGCAGTGTTTTCTCTCAGCGTCAAAGACCTCTGCATCAAGATGGTCGTCTCATCGGTCATCAGAACCTCTTGTCCAGCAGGATGTCCAGTTCGAAAGGAGTCCTCTGAATCCGTGCTACTGCAGGCACCATCATGATTCGAGCTGCAGGTCGAGTCGCTAGCATCATCATGCGGATCACTCTCATGGAGAGTGATGAAAGCCCCTCGAAACAGCGGTACGATCTGCCCCCACTCATAAATCTGGACACCATTGGCTGTAACCATGTGCACAGTACATTCAGTCAGCCAAACACACTGATTCATGGGGATGGCTTGCACAAAAATGCCGTGGACATCGGGATAGCCAAGAAAGTAGAACAGGAAAGTGGCTCGAAAATCCTCCGTGTCAGACACATAATCCAGCAACACCGGATAAATTGTGTTGACTTGGAAAGTCGTCAAAATGAACTGTGGGTGCCTTTCTCCAATGCTTGGAGGGACAGGGTGAACCGGATAGACAAAACATTGTCTTCTACCGATAATTCCTGCCCAAAAGCTTCGCACCTGTGGACCTGCAGGCAGCTCGTGGTTATAAGCCTCAAACTTAAAGCGACGGCTGATACGACCACGAGCATCGAGCGGATGGAACCACACGAGGATTCTGGTATTTCGATGGTTTGCCACCGATAGCCTAATATATCGGCCGAGAACATCTTCAGCCGGTGGGCCAACCTGCATCAGGACCGAGAGGTCATTGTCAAATTCCAAGGTCTCGAAATCTCTACACCTTGCATCCTTGGCGTAGAAGAATTCTCCATGACGAATGGGAAACATCTGATGGCTTCGTATCCCTTGGTCAGCTGGAGATTCGTCAAAAGAACGTCGAAACATGTGACAAAGATGCTCTCTGTTGGACATTGTCACTCCACAAGCTTGGTAGGATGTCGTCGCCATCGATACTATTCCATCGGTGCATTGTGATCTGATCAGAACTGCTCGAAGGGAAAACAGCTGTCTTCTCCAGATCACAAAGTGCTTCACTGGGGATCCAAGCAAGAAATCAGAGCTCGGCGGTTGTGGTCGAATCATGATAAAATCACAGTTGTTACCACATTCATCTTGCCAAAGCAAATTGAAATCTTCTCGGAACATGGCAAAATCGTCCCCATAATACTGCTTCTGTCGTGCATCTTCTCTGCAAGATGGGTAACCAGCAAACCAGACATTCGCTGTCCAGTGTCTGCCTTCATCATTGGGCAGGGGAAGCAGAGCAATCGGGAACGCTCTAAGCACATTCGGGTTGATTCGATTAGACAAGAAGTCTCCACTCGGCTGACAGGACGCAGGGTTGTCAAGGCCTGTCACAAAATGTGGACAAAAATCATGCACAGCACTCAGAGAGGTATGGTATCCACTCGATGCACAGGAGACAATAGAATTATCACAAGTATGGCCTTGTGGCCGGAGGGTCCTCTCAAAATCAAGGTCACCTTGGGTCAAAAACGGACAAGACATATCATCTTCCTGGAGGCCTGAAAAAGCAGAGCTAGAACTGCTAGGGCAAACGTCATCAACCTCAGGCACGGGTTGAGACCAATTCGAAGCGTCGGCACTACTTTCATCAGCCATAATATCAAAATTAACCCTTCGTGCGTCAGAAAGAACACCAACAGCCTCGGCAGAGGCAAGATTGCATAGCAGCAATACTGCCAACAACTTCCTATTTGTCCATGTTTTGCGTCGCCTCTGGTCCGCTCGACTCCCAGCGCGAAACCGGCATTGAGACGGGAATCTTGGTCTCTGTTCTTCGCGCAAACGCAGAAATGAACAAATTTCCAAGGAAGCATATACACTTGCCATAACATAGAAATAGCCTTGGAGGATCTGCACACCTCCAATGGCCTGCTGATAGGCCAGATCATCTTCCGCAAGCTCCAAAAGACACAGCGATCCAAAGCAGCAAATCCTAAGGAAAGTTTTGCAAAGCATCCCTGAATCTAAAGGCGGCCAGAAGTATAATCTTCGAATTGATCGCTCCCTTTGAAGGAGAGCTCGACAAGCCGTCAGAAGCTCATCAGCACAAATTGCGCTGGAAGCAGCCACGGCCAAAACACAAAATAGCACCAAGCACTGCAAAACCAAAGGAAAAAAGCAGCTGGCCCTTACAAAAGACCAGTTACTAGCCTTGCTAAAGTGCTCACTATCGAAAGGGCAACTCACCTCAAAAAAGGGCAAGATACAAAAGGCAGGATTCCACCCCATCGGAATCTCAGCTTCCTTCTCATTCAAATCATCACGCCCAAGACCGGGGTTGGCAACGAGTGGTCCATCCCAAGTATCGGGCTTATAGATCTCAGACAGGACTTCCGAACCCAATGAAACCTCGTCCTCCAACAAAGTAGAACGATTACTGACTCCATCCAAGGCACCACTCGGACATTCAGCGATCGATCGATTCAAATCCACGAACAGCAATCTGCGGCCTTGAAAATCGGCGCAAGATCGCCCATCAAAGTCATGGTTTACGACATACGCTCCATAGTGGAAATCCTCCCACCATCTGGCGTCATTGCAGCTGATAGATGGCCTAGCCCCGGAGGGGTGTATGGCCCGTCTCCCTGCTTCTTGCTTTTCACTTGTGACTTCCCAAAAGGCTGAAGCACTGGATGGTCCTGTATTGGTAGATGTCCCGGTTCTGACCGTCCGTTGGGGGGCACCTCCAGCTCCTTGTTCAAGTCCACTGCGACACAGGCATTGAGCATCTGGGTATGGATGGAGACAATCAGATTGGAAACAACCTCCCACTTCACATATGCATCTGGGTCTTGATGGATGGTCTGGAGCACTGCCATTTGGCATTCTTCGGGATACCTGGCCAATTCGGTCTTGAGCTGCTGCGATTCGTAATCCGGAGCAAGCTTGGGCTGCTTGGCCGCTCGGCGCTCTGCATCTGGGGTGCGCGAACGCTCCCGGCCATCTTCCTGCTTGACCTTGGTCAGGCTCTTGCCTTCGATCTTTTCTTCTTGAAGTACTATTCCAAGCGTCTTCCTGCGACTCTTCACATCCTGATCTGGCGAAGTAACAGGGGGGGGGCGATGTCAAGGTCGAGCCCTGGATAGCACTCACTAACCCCATCATCTGGGCTTGAAGTTGTTCCATCATCTGAGCCTGTCTCTGATCCCTCTGCATGGTATAAGCAACAACGTCCTGCATTTCCGACCTCAAACCAGTCAGTTCTTGCTGTAGTCGTCGATTCTCTGCACGCAGCTCTGGATCTTCGCTCTCTCCTTCTCCCTCTGAATCGATAGGGATAGGTTCGACTCCATCCCGTTGTCTCTCCAGGGATTTGATCTCCGCACTGATCTCCGCCAGCTCGCTGGAATGCCTCTTCTCTTCTTTGCGGATGCCTAACTCGATGGTCTCTTTCCAAGACTGGAAGTTCTTGGACTTCTTCTCCATCGCGTCTTTGGCTTTGTCGAGCTTGTTGATCTTCTTCCGCTCTTCGTTCAACTCCTTTTGTCGGAGCCGAATACTCTCCCTGGGGTCTATCTGCACCAGCTCCTTGACCGAGTCCGGAATCTTGGCCTTCTCCTCGTCGGTGGGGGCGACCTTCTCCAGCATATATCTCATTGCATCTTTCAACCGTCTGTTCTCGGCTTGCATCTGTGCCTCTTGTGAGGTAGATTGCGACGATGCCCATGAGGAGCCAGATTGCTCGTCGACCTCCACTGCTTTCCCATCGTAACCGACCAAAAAGACATTCTTTTTTCCTTTGGCCTTGGGATCTTGGGCTTCCTCTTTCTTCCGATTGCCTTTCTTCTGGGGCTTCTCCCAGTCGTACCAGTAGGCCTCCTTCTTCCATGACATCTGTCTGGCAATCAGAGGAACTGAGTAAACTGGCCTGGTATGATGCCGCTGCAGAAGTAGTAGAGCACGGAGCACTCGCGCTCGTAGCGCCGCAGAGATCTTACTTTTGGCCTTAACCTTCCAGATCAGAGCTCGCTGTTTCGCTCGTCTTGCTCTGGCACGTCGGTGCCAGGAAGGGCTGCCAGAGACTATGGCTCTAGCGCACGAGTCGACCCGAAAAAGGGTCTGGGGCCACGATCGCTTCCGACCTACCGCCGGCTATCTCGAGCCCTTGATGGAACAGAAAAGAAATGAACAAACAGTTGCCGGGAACCACTTTAAGGATCTATGGAGAGCTCGGTTAGGGAATATGGGTTTGTCTCTGGCCCAAGCCTGCGGTCGAAGAGTAGCAAAACCTAAAGAAACCCAGGTGCACAATGAACATGTCAATCAATGCATGTCGTGTCCATCGTTGGGTGTCATTCTTTTGCTTGTGTCATCTTGTTTCTGTCTCAACAAAGCAACCTATGGCGCCGCTGCGCAATGTCCCAAGGTCCGTGCAGGAGTGGCCTCGCCTTTCTGGGACTTGACAATACCCTCGAAAAGGCTCTGCTCTTCGTGGATCCGTGACTGGCACACCCGGAATTGTTTGATGCTGCTTCGCACCCGTAGATTTCACTAAAGATCCTGGCTAAACATATCCAGGCTTTGCAGAGTAGACACTTCAGATGCCAGGAAGACAAAGGTATGCAAACAACACTGTTGGCAAAGCCATTCAAAGTTACAAACAATGCAAGGAGGTTAAGGGCTGAAAACTAAAGCAAAGCAATGCTACTAGCCATTCACTGCTCGTCTCTCATTCCCATCCTCTAGGCGATGTGCCAGCTGTCTGGTCAGCTCGCACCTGTAAGTTTTGGGGTATGGAGCAAGCTGCAAATTTAAAAGGGAGGGACCAAAGAGAAGCAACATGAACCAGTTCAGCCACCCTCTGATATTATGTTGCCAACTGCAACTTCAATGTTTAGCAAACGTTGGAAGGACAATATTATATTGGATCGCGCAGCTTTGTAAGGTTTACGCTGAAGTAGAAGAAGGTCACATGGCGCCAAAAAATATGCTCGACAACACTGTCCTCGTTGGGTTTCATAATATGAGAAGTGCCGGCCACGCCTTCTTCAATACTCTCGACTCACTAGCGCAGTTGATTGAATTTCACTATTCTCAAGCAATCTCCTGGTGGTTGAGAGTCTTGGCAACCGGACGCGCCCGTATACCGGATCGCCGGCAACATCCGCAGGGTCAAACACGTAGCTAGCAGCCCCTGTCCGACCAACAGAGCATGAATGGGCAAAAATAGAAACACATGTCGTAGCAGGTGCCACAGAACACGTGAACATGTTGGCCTGCCTCAATAATGCGTTCGAAAACACTTTCCTCATAGGGGCTCCAGCAATGGTGATCCTGTCGACATGATGTAGTGCTAGCCCACTTCACACTTCACTCTTCCAAGCCCTTTCACTTTTCTGAGATTTGATATATTTGATGTAGGAACAAGAAATTCAATGAGTGGATTATGTGAATGCTTGTCCTCCGTCAGGCGGACAGTCGAGGGCAAATTCAAAGAGAAAAGATCGTGATTTACCTCCCAAGTTGCAAAGTAAACATCATCGCATCTTGCACACTTCGAAGCGCAACTCAGGTGCAAACCGCATATACATCTGCGAAGAACTCTTGGACCTGGCCACAAATGTTGGACGAGACAGCTGCAACAACAGCTGCAATTTCTGTTGATTTTCGGGGAAGTCAAGATGCGTATCATACGACATTAGTAACAAGTGCCACGCTAGTAGTAACAGGTGCCTTACTAGTAGTAACAAGAAGCTACTAGGAACAATAGTGCTGTTTGTTGGAAAATGAGCATGCAGAGCATTTCATTTCACCACTGGAACTGAATCGTGTCGGAGCTGGTGGGTAGAACTCAACCAGTCCAAACTCGCTGGGTTTCCGCCTGTTTAACAAGCTCATACTCGTCGCAGGAGGCCAAAGGGTCCAGCCGCACATGCGGTACCACGTTGGTGAAAAAGAGATGGTACTGCACAATTTGCAGAGAGAAACATGAATCGAGAAGTCCTTTAACCAGATCCTGTCATTCTCTCAGAAAACCTGGAATCATGTTTGCTTCTCTGTTACCTCGTCTTCTCGTCAATTCTGATCAATAGTATTCGAATGCATCTTCACAAGAATGCTGCGCTGCCCTGTCCTCATTGTACTTTGGATTCTTCAGCTCTTGAGAGAGCTTCAGAAAGTTCTTATTTGTCGGCCTTCCAATAGAAAACTTACACGTCAACACGTTAACATGACAGTTCACATAAGCAATTACAAAGAGAAAAAACAAAGTGACGTGCACACATATATATATTATATCTATTACAGTATATACTGGACATCTTTGCTGATGACTCTAATGGTAATGGCATTGGAATGCGACACTGGTCAATAACTGATTTCTTTGAACCCTGCATCTTTCGCCTCAGGAAGCATACTGCGTTCATGTGTCGCATCTTCTCCTGAGAGGCAAAAGACTCCGCATCGATGCGCTCCACGAGGAAGACCTGGCAAACGGAACAGCTACTTCAACATCCGCCAAGGCAAAGACTCTTGTGTAACAGGTGAAACATGGTGAAACAATGTGAAACAGGCGTGTGAAAACTCTTGTGTCTGGACTCATCTTGGAGAATCGCTCAATGGACTTACAAACAAACCCATGAAGCTGAGCTGCACTCTCTTTTTGACCCTAGCGACACTGTACCCTCGCCAATCAGTCAAATAGCTAAATTTCAGTGCTGGAAGCGGCTGACCAAAACTCTTCAAAGAATCATGAGTGTTTGCAAATCAGGGCCAAATCTAAACTCAGCAAAGTTGCAAGATGCATCCAAAGGGTCAAGAGCATCGCCACTCGTAGTGGTGGCGTCTACTCAAATGTCTGGTCTTTGCGGGACTCAGTTGTAGCTTCAACATCAACAAGCCACGCTTCTCAAGCCTCCAACTCTGTAAACATGATGGACTCTGCCGCAAACTAATGATAGTGGACAATCCTAACTCATCCACCCGAAGCATCATAGAACCTGAGTCAGCTCTCAAAGGATCCACTGTTTTGCTTGCTGTTTGCACTTGCGATTGCTGGACTCTAGGCAAGTTACACTTTACTAGAAACAAGTGCCTTACTAGTAATAACAAGTGCCTTACTAGTAGTAACAA